GAGCCGTGTGACCGTCAAGGGCTCTATTCTAGGAGGTTCGAGCTTTTTGTTCAGTTCACCCCAGAGCATCCTGTCGTTTTTGTCCTGCAAACTGAGAGGAAGGTCAGGGTTTTCTATGGGGTTCATGATTATGAGCGAGTCGTCACGGACCGTTATTGTTTTCCCAGGTTTTCCGGTGCGTTCAGGTTGAGTACGTTGTTGCTTGGAGGTCAAAGCAGGTTTTTGAGTCGTAGGCTTTTTGATAACCGAGCGGACGTTTTTGGGGGTAGACTGGGCGATCAAAGCACCAGTTGATGTCCGTACAACACTTGGGATGTCAACCTTAGACGGTGACACCTGGTCTTTATTAGCCCTGTTTACGTGGGTACAGTCACCTACAGGATTTCTAGGAACCACTGTTGCGTTTAAGGACCCTGAACTAGGAGATCCAAGTTTATTGAGGGAGTCAATTACCGTCGACGTAATGATGGTGCTGAGTTTCAACATTTCATCATTAGTGCTAATGTGTGTTCCATCGATGGTTGACTTATCAACATCCCTATTCTTATTTTCGTTGCGCGCCCTTGTTTGTCTACCTATTTTATGGCTATCTGTTTCCAAGTTTACTGACAGTTTGTTCCGCAGACCTGTCAGTAGAACAATGATGTTGCTCAGCAGTACTACAGCGTCCGTGTTGCACGTAACGCACACCCACTTACGGTCCGAGTTGCTGAGTCTCTTGTAAGCAGTTGCTGTAAGATCTGTGCACGTCTAGTGGTACCAACCTTTGCAGTTGTCGCACTGCATGCCAGATGTAACAGCGAAACGGCATCCAGGTCGTTTGCATGAATTTTTCATGGCTGTATTGACGTAAACTGTGCTAGAGATAGTATTAAAGCTTAAGACCGTTAAAATACACAAAAAACCACACTAAAAACGGGAAAAAATGTATAAAAACTGATGAGATAAAATGAACTAGCCTTTACGTGAAAAACTGAAAAATAGACCGAATAGTAAGCTGAGGCGAAACCACAGTTAACTATTAAATTGAGCGAAACTCAGAAAATAAAAAGTAATCTGCAGAACTTATAGCTCAGAATAGATTGTTTAGATCAGAAATGGTACTTTTGTTGCGTAAGAACACAGCAAAAGTTTGAGAAATACAAACCGCGTTAGGACTAAACTTCCCGTTCAAAAAGCGCGACCCCAGAACAACTTCGACAGTTCCCGAGAAATGAACAAAGTTAAATATTGTGACTCTTTACGCACCCGAAAAAATACTTCGTGTTAGTTCCAAACTAAGGTTTGGACTGATAAATAACTGTCTAGGTGGGTTAGATACGCGCCCTTGTCCGGTTGAAACCAAAACAAAGTAATTGGGTAAAATGACGGTTCTATAATTTACCATAAATTTAAATCTACAATGTTACCTAAACAAATATGACCACCCAGCCATTTAACCAATAATTGTTCAATTCATCAAATCTAAATTACAATAAATAAGGAAGTTGATAAAGGATGCGAGAAAAATTACCAATCGCAACAAATATATGCTATTCTATCCTGTCTGGTTAGATCACGCACAGATTCGTTCCAAAGATAATATTTGGTTGCTTTATAACACAGTGTTTCCAATTCTGAAAGAGTGCCTCAATTCACATTCAAAATGAACAATTCCAGTCAATCAAAGGGAAGAACAAAGGAATATGGCTGCCGTCAAGACTAAGTATCAAGTAAAACAACATAAATGCAGCTTAGAAAGAAACATGGAGACTTGGTGAAGGCGTAAGAAAAATAAAAACTATAATAAAATACAAATATTACCAACTCAAGTGGAATCAAGAAAGAAGGCTAACAAAATGTACAACTAGAGGAATCAATAGGAACAGACTACAAGTGTATACATGGAGGGATTTTCACACACAAAACATTCAAAATGGATCTTACACTTTATGCAAAAGACTTTGTTCTCTTTGTTTCTCTTCTTCTGTCTTTTAATATGAAATTATCGACTCCGTACATTTACGTACAGTGAATCAAAAATATCAAAAGAATTTTGTTTATAATTCTAGAAACCTGCCTTTGGAAAAACAAACGGAATTTTGCAGCCGATTAATGACAGTAAATTTTGCGTGAATACATCCCTTTGTCGCGACAGATGTCTTTTGCTTTTTGACAACCCTGATTTTTCTTTGCAGAATGATTCTTCAGGTGCCCGATTTTTTATGTTTTTCTATACCCATTTAAAATGATGAAGAAAATGATAGATACATAATTAGTTCATTTTCACCATATGACGCCACATGACAGGTGTAGACTGTCCGGTGTTGGTAAGTGTAGCAGACTGTTAGAAGTATTTGTCAGTGGCAAGCTTACTAAGTTTGGGTCTTTGATCCTTTTGATCAGTTTTGACATAAGGCTAGCAAAAACCGAGCCAATGAATAGGGGAAGAGATCCATTCAAAACTTAAGCACTTAAGGAGGGCACCGTAAATTCATAAGAAACATTCCAGGCACCCCGTTGTATAGCCATTAAAAAGAATTTTGGAATTACTAACCAGCCGTGCGAACGTTGTCTGTGTTTGTGTATCCAAATATAAGGCAATAATTTCGTGGCACTACTTACTTTATCTTTGCCATAAAAAGGTAATTTACGAACAAGCTTTGATGTTTGTCATTTAATTTCTTGCATGTTAGAGATCTATTGTCACATAAAGTCACTTAAAAGTATCCTTGCCTCGTCTGGCTCAGTATTTTCGTAATAAGTTTACGGAATTAAAATATACTCGTTTTGCACCCTCAATTTCGTCTTTTTTCGTTATTCAAGTCCCTTCTCATTACTCTACTGTTTGCCCACTCCATTCCTAAGTTTACATAAAGGTACTTGAATGACAGTAAATCCTTCAAAGTAGTTTGGTCAGCTATAATTCTCCGATTTAATGTACACTAGTTACACCGTTTACCAATGATTGCACTTTGTTGGTTAATTATGTCAGTTTGGTCTATTACTCACCTATATTTGTTTGCCCCAGGTTCAGTAAAAGCACGATACACTACTCAACCAACAGCTATGGAGCTTTGCTAGTATCTTGATGCTATAAAACGACTCCGTATCTTTGATGTCTTGATATTCTTGTGGGGAAAAGGTTCCTGAGAGCTGTACCGCCTATTAACGAGGAACAAGCTTGGGCATTATGTTAAGTGTACAATTGTTCAGCTGATTGTCGTCTATTTGAATCCGACACCCAACAATACATCATAAAGTTGATTAATGCAATAGGACAACGTTTAATAAACAATCACTGCAGAAGTCATGTGTGGAAGATGATGAAAAAATCAGATAGTGACAGTGGTGAGTGAAAAGATAAAAGGATTTAATAAAACTGCTAATACAAAGGAATTGTAATCAAAAATTCTTTAAATACATAAATTCAAGTGTTTTCAGTTTTCAGGAGTTTCGGTCGACTACTTATACTGATGTGTTGCATGCATAATTGTGTTGCTAAACCTCCAGTTAGACGGACAAGGTCTTAATATATATATATACTGACTGAGCAACCGATAGAGTAACATATCGTAATCATCTGTAGTGGATGAAGATAACACGGAAAAAATATCAATTAATAATAATTACAAATCGGTTCGTTGACGGATTCTATTAATAGTTTCATCAGTGTTATCAATCATATTACGTGATTGTCAAGTCATGAAGATGCTTTGTGACGATACCCTGAGATCATTAGGAATAACTACTTATAGTGTTCATTGAGGATTAGCCAGTGGGAATTAGGTATTGTTCTTTTAGGTGGTTCTGAAATATCAGAAGTTTGTAGCGTTAACGGATCCGCGCTGCTTTATTACATTTTCAATCGCGATCCAGAAATATTTGTTCACTACCTGTTAATTTTAAAAGTAGGCTCCGGTGTTTATTTTGAATGCTTGTTTGACTAACAACTATGTGATAGTTTAGTCATTGTATCAGTGTAGCATGATAGTGCCTAAATTCGGTGACTTTATTATTTGAGCTATGTTAAACGTCTTTTTAAGCAACCATGATAACCTAATCCATAAACACAAATACATATAGCAATAACGACTATAACAGGTTTAGTGAAAGAGTTGAGGACGATTCAAATGATTGCAAAATTTAAAGAGTGTAGAGATATAATGCAACTCATGTATAAACCATGTTAACATGCTGGTTGGTGAGGAATGTAGCAATTTACAAATAATAAATCACCAAAAAACTTTTCTAAAGTTGTGACGACTTGCGGAACTGCAGTTAAGAATATGACGAGTTATAATACAGACTTTTCACACAAAGTTACTGTAGTTAGCCTGGTGACATTTATAGATATATGGCGATGGCAATTGTAACTAAGAAATGTCAAATAATGTTTGAATCTAATATTCTTCCTCTGTAATCAGCACACTTTTCTTTTGTAGTGTGTTGTATGATAAAGCTATCAAATATATTTTATGCTAAGAACATTTTTGGAGTGGTTCTTATTAAATTTAAAGGCTAAGCTAAGTGAAAATTTTTACATGTTAAATACCAAAACAGCAAATCATTCAGAAAAATAGTAAAATTTGCTTGAATTATTTCCAGGAATTAGGTCATTCGACAGATTTAACATATATGAGATCAACTGCTGACTTTGTACCGGCAATAACAATGGAATATTTACAAATGGAGGTATTTCATCATTACTACCACCAATATTCCTGTCATCATCATCCTTAACACATGTCTGACCGTTACAACTAGATAAATGCACCAGTTCTTCTCAGAGGAAGTATAAACGACCGCTCACATATCGAATTTACTTGTATTAATGCACAGTGGTGGTCAAACTACTCATACCGAAGGATACCAAAAATTAGGGATCATACCGCAACATGCAGAAAGAGGCTTAGATAAGTCAACGAGTTTACACAAACTTATCACAAAGATATTGAATATATGTATCACAAATTATTTTTTGTTTATATGTCTCGAATATATGAACTTGTGATTTTGTCACTTTTTTGAACATCTTTAGTAATGTGCGTTGACAAGCAAGTAGTTATTTTTAAAACAGGACAAAAGCGGTTTTACAGAGTATTTTACGAATTCTGAGGCTGAAGCGTATGTTAAAATAATTATTTTACCATCTGATACGTTATATACTAAAGTAATTAACCCATGTAATAAACATATCTTTCCCATTATACCTCTAAAATATAGCTGAGGTATATTCGATAGATTGCCTTCACCACTTTCTAACCTCAATCATCAACTGCAAATTATAGTTGTTAAGTGGACATCCTCAAGGTCAGTCAAGCATCGCTCAAGGCTCATCCATAAATCATAATCTCACCAACATTTTATGCACCAAACCTTGCTTACCGTACTGAGACAGAAATGACTTAAGCCCCTTCATTTTGTAGAAACGCTTCATATTCTCAGTTAATACAAAAATCCCGATAATTGGATTGACTACTGTATACCATGTAGCATTAAATCTGCTCATGAATTACTGTTTTTATGTATTTTTAGATGTCTTTATACCCTTCTCTGGAAGAGTTAAAAGTACAGAGCATTATTGAAAGTCAAAGCAATGGACCTTCAACTGCGCAGTCTGACTGTCAAAGACCAATGTCACAAATTAACAACACTATACCTGGAAATTGCAATATGGATAATAATATGTCTTCTTGCAACATTGGTGGTAGGCCTGTTACCTGTGGATCTACAATATGTGGCATTTTCCCTCAATCTGGTATGGGCTGTGGGGTCAATTCAATGTCAATTGCTCCTTTTACACCAAGCGGAGCGCTTTGTCTACCGCTTCCAGCACCATTTGATTGCGTAGATATAAAACCAGGAGTTAGACTTGTTACTCTTTGTAAAAATGAATTCGGTAAAGTCGGAATTCAGCTTAAAGAAATACAGAAAGTAAGTTTTGAGAAAAATTTCCTTACATGACCTGTGTCATCTTCATTATCTTAAATGTTATATGTTTGGAATTGATTAGCATTGATAATTAGGAGATGTTATGTCTATTTATATTCAACAAAAGTAAAACGTTAAAATTTGACATATTCCCATGTATTTCGTGATCCTAAATGAAATTCAGATTATTGAAAAACATGTGCTTGGTCTTCACTAAAACCACCTCATTTTATCATGTCACGAATTAACATCTTGAAGAAAAAACAAACTAGCCATACTGTTAATTCATTGTCATTAAGTCATACTTTCTAAATGAAGGAAAGATTCACAAAAATCATAAGGTTTTTACTGTTAAAAACTAGAGCTCACTAAGTCTAATTTTTATGACGTAAATCTTAGGATAAGTCAAATGGTTACATTTTTATAGTGTGCACAGTTATATCGACAGCTCCTTTAGTACAGATAGACTGTAAATGTTAAAATGGAACAAATTACAGAAGAACGAAAACAAACAAAGATGGATATAAAGTTGACATATAGATCATTGCTTGAGAACTGACCATTACATGGTTATGGAAAATGATGAGAGCGTACTATTAAATTCGGCCACAAAGTATAATCATGACGTTGTTTCTCCCAATAAAAAATCAGTTCCAAACGTTGATACCATTAAAAAAATGCTCCTGAATTAGTTCCTAATAGTGACCTTAGACTTTTTGACACTTTGCCTCGCTCTACGAACTTGATTTCTTTATACACCTTTTTTCGTATATGGAAAACATTATCTGAAAGCCACTCAATGTAAACAAAATCAGATAATTGAGTCATTTGTTACTAAAGCGTTTAATAATTGATCTGTCTTAGCAAATCAAACCGTCTTCATGAGCTGTGGTCAATAAGTAAATATATTCTGTATATTAAGTGTAATCGAAAGGTCTTAGATTAAACGGATCAAAATTATCTTTAAAGTGTCATGGAACACATAAACAAGCGGTTTGTTTTTATAAATGGTCCACGCAAGTACGAAGTTTAATCTTATCGACTATACGTTCTTCGAAATACCTTACTAAAATTTCATATAGCGAAGACTATTTACTTCATTAGATTATTCAGGTTAACTCAATTTATTTGAACTGTGGTACAATTAGTATGTATGCTTTTATTTCTACCGTTTTCAAATTTATATGCTGTAACGCAGCTGCAGCATAATGAATTACTAGTCTGATACGATAACTTGTCAAATTAGAAAATACTTTTTCATGGTTTAAAATTCCGGTTACAATGAAGTAGGTAGATCACTGTACAGAAAATATGCTTCGAATCAATTTTCATCACGTACCATATTTTTGAACCCAAATCAACAGTGATTAGAGTGACCAGATTTACATAAACATATTTTGTGCACAGATTATTAGCTGAAAATCGTGATGGATGTACCTTTCGTAGCCATTCCAGGTACCGGGATATCTTGTATGTAGTGATAACTTGAAGTGGACCACATGTCAAGTAAGGAAAAGGTTATGAGGCTGTTAATAGAAGAAAACAAAGATACAAGTAACTTATAAAAGTAACAGTATTGTTATTAGTAATCACATCAAGTATTAGGTAAAAGATGATCAAATGCATGAGTCAGTATGAACTAAGTCAGCTGTGCAAATAAAGTGACTAATGAGTAAACTGATCAAATATATGGAAAAAAAGTGATCAAAAATAGTAAACTCAAATTCTAAAATGTTAATAATGAGGGGAGAAAGTACATTAATCGATGTATCAAACTATAACCAAATATGTCACATAGCAGAGATGACCATTGACATGGTGCATTTAAAGCTTCCCAAGGAAAAAACGACTTAGGTTGACGCCTTGAATTTATGGTTCGAGTGGGTGTGTTTTTACTGTTCGAGATAATTAAATTTTATTTGCTTTTAACACGTTAATTTGAATGCAGTAGATTTTCAAATTATTAAGTGGTGCTTAGTTTACTGTCTGTTCAGTCCAGATGAACGTAGATTAAACTGCCTTGTGAGGTGAATTGCATCGTTCTATGGCTTTGTTTGAAGGTGCTTGGAGGTGTAAGACTTAAAATGTTCAGCATAATTCACCTTTAGCCTCACCTTCAACAAACATGTAGTAAATCCTGGTTATCGCTTCCAAAATCCACACTGATTTGAGTAATTTACTGTTTTGTAATCATATAGATGTATAAGTATAATAGTATGGCATAATTTTTATGTTATGTGGTGTTTTAAAACATATTTAAGGCTTGTAAAAGTGTTTCTACTTAATTAAAGTCATTTTGCCGAAATTCTTAAACGGTAGATTTTCCCTGTTATGTTTATTAAATGAAACAAGTTTCTAAACTTAAAAATACCCGAGCTTCAGTTTTAGTGTAAATCTGCCGCTTATTGTCGTGGTTACAGCTAATATCCGTAAAGTGTTTGGACTTTGACTAAAATGTCTAGGTTGTGATTAACTGTATGCTTTGTTTCATGATGTGTAAAAAAATATATATTAGACTTTTATAATTTCAGTTCTTTTTTTCATTTCAATAGGGTATATTTGTTTCATTTGTGGAAGGATTTTCACCAGCTGCACTTGGCGGTGTACGTTTTGGAGATCAGATCCTGGAGATTAATGATATTCTAGTTACAGGTTGTTCAGGAACAAGATCAATGGAAATATTGAAAAGTTCAACTCCTAACAACATAAGACTTGTATTACGTGACCGGTATGTAGTATGTATGCATTATATATATATATATATATATATATATATATATATATATATATATATATATGTTTTCTATTCATTGCATTAATTGGTAGATATAACATGTCGTTTTGTTCACACATTTACTCTTGTTTTCCCCAATATGTATCAGTTTTATAAGAATTCAGCTAAAACCATATTATTTTCTATGATGATTTTATCTTTAGATGGTAGATAAAATTTATTTTCATGGGATAATTACAAAATGTTTTTAAAAATCCCATTTGATTACAAGTTAAAATATAATTAAAATACATATCACTATGAAGATTGTTATACGTTATTCTGTAGGATAACACAACTTTTAATTCATCATAGGCTAATGTTAATTGAAAAAGTGGAACAGGGCAAAGAAATACATCTGATGGTGCTTTGCTACGTAAACTTGATTTCTGTATTCATATGAAATTTGTACACTCTTTTTATCTTAATTATCATAATAGTCAACATTCGAAGGAGTTATGAATGAATGAATTGAACAACTTTATTTTCTTGACTGTTTCTTCTCATGATTTCTGTTCTGTTTTTGTTGATGAGTTGTAATATTTACTTTATTATTGCACAATTGTTGTTTATATTCAATTTCTTACCTATCCCACTCCACCTACTTCAGTTTTGTGCAATAATGTATTACCGTTTGTCCTTACCATAGTTAAAGCGCGGTCTATACCCAGGAACCCGGTGAATGTGATGATTTATTATTATTATTATTATAGATGAACCGACCAGTGACGCAATATTTGGTGCGTAATACAGCAGATAATTAATGTTGTCAACTTATGCAGACGCATTGAGTATTTGTAAATTTCACTTGTCATATAGTTAATAAATAATCATGTTTCCTGTATCCTATTTTTTTAATATGAAAATAGTTGAGTCTCAACTATTTATTTTGATTTTGTATTAATTTTCACTTCTTATTCCCCTTTTTCTTTTCAATATTTATGGTTAATTCTACTTAAATATGTAATTACACAAATTCTGACAAATTACATTGTAGCACAAAAAAATGTGCCAAATTTTCATTTGTGTTAATCTAACTGTTAACTTTGATTTTTAAACTAATCAAATAATTACTTACTTACTTATTTACTCCTGTTACTCCCAATGGAGCATAGGGCGCCGACCAGCACTCTCCAATACACTCTGACCTGAGCTTTCCTTTCCAGTTCTATCCAATTTTTGTCCATTTTTCTCATGTCTGACTCCATTTCTCGGCGTAATGTGTTCGTTGATCTTCCTCTTCTCCTTCGACCTTGAGGATTCCATGTGAGGGCTTAAGTTGTGACGCAGTCTCGTGCTTTCCTCAATGTGCGTCCTATCCACATCCAGCACTTCTTCCTGATTTCTTCCTCCGCTTGGATCTGGTTTGTTCTCTTCCACAGTAGGTTGTTGTTGATAGTGTCGGGTCAACCGATCCGAAGTATTTTGCGTAGACAACTGTTAATAAACACCTGTATGTTCTGGGTGATGGCTTTTGTAGTTCTCCAGGTTTCCACCCCATACAGTAGAACTGTCTTAACATTTGTATTGAAAATTGTGACCTTGGTGTTGGTTGCCAAATGTTTTGTTTTCTAGATGTTCTTCAGTTGTAAATATGCTGTTCTTGCTTTGCCGATCTACGCTTTCACATCTTTATCAGATCCACTGTGTTCATCAATAATGCTGCTCAGCTATATAAAGATTTTTACATTTTTCAAATCTTCTCCGCCGTGTGATTGGATTCTTGCATACTCTGTTGTATCGGAGAATCTTGATTTTCCATTTATGTATGTTGAGACCTACTGCTGCTGAGGCTGTTGCTACACTGGTCGTTTTCTCCGGAATTTGTTGTTGCGGAGCCTGTAGCCCCTCTGGGGCTACTGCCGGTCCCAAGCCCGGACAAAGGAGGAGGGTTAGGCATGGATTCAGCGACCCCATGCCTTTATAAAATAAATCACTAAAAAAAGCTGACCAGAAAAAAATTCAAACAGGGGTCTAGAAGTTAGGGGTTTTTACGCGAGACCTAAGTTCCGGTAAACTCCGTCTGTAGCTCTCCCAGAGTTACTGCCGGTCCCAAGCCCGGGTAAAGGAGGAGGATTGGGCATGGGGTTATCGTCCCCATCCCGTAGAAAACTAACTCGCTAAAAAAACGCTAACCAGAAAAAATAACTCAAACCATATAAACTCTGCCCTGGGAGTTAGAAGGTCTTCATTTAGAAGAGTTATGACGCCTCATGATGAAAGCCGAGTTCCTTCGGAAGTCACGAGGCCGGTGCCCCTTCTAACAACCAGAGCAACAATTTTTATAGGTACATGGAACGTCCGGACAATGTGGGAGACCAGGAAGACCAGTCAAATAGCAACGGAAATGAGGAGATACAACTTGGCAGTACTGGGAATCAGTGAAACCCATTGGATCCAAGCTGGACAACAAAGGCTAAATACGGGAGAGATGCTGCTATACTCCGATCACGAAGAGGAAAATGCCCCACATACTCAGTGAGTTGCTCTAATGCTGTCCAAAGTAGCACAAAATGCACTTGTAGGATGGGAATCTCACGGATCCAGAATCATCAAAGCATCATTCAAAACAAAGAAGGAGGGGATCACAATGAACATTATCCAATGTTATGCACCCACCAATGATAGCAACGACGACGTTAAAGATCAATTCTATGAGAGGCTGCAATCAATCATAGAGAAGTGCTCATGAAAAGACCTCACCATTCTGATGGGAGATCTAAACGCCAAAGTCGGAATAGACAACACCGGATATGAAGATATCAAGGGACTGCATGGACTGGAAGAGAAGAATGAAAACAGGGAAAGATTTGTAAATCTGCGTGCATTCAACAAATTGGTCGTAGGCGGCACAATATTTTCACACAAACGTATACACAAGGCCACATGGATCTCACCGGACCACACCACAGAGAACCAGATAGATTATATTTGCATCAATAAAAAGTTCCGAAGGACAATGGAAGATGTGAGAACCAGGAGAGGAGCGGACATAGCTTCAGATCACCACCTGGTTGTGACCAATTTAACTCTGAAGCTAAAGAAGAACTGGACAACTGGACAAACAGCGCTGCAAAGGTTCAATACAGCCTTCTTTCGAGATACCGACAAACTCAATGAATTCAAGGTAGCTCTCAACAACAGATTCCAAGCCCTACAGGATCTACTGAAGGAAGAAGAAACTATTATGGAGGATAACTGGAAAGGTATCAAAGAAGCATTAACTTCAACTTGTCAAGAGGTTCTTGGCCCCAAGAAACATCACAAGGAATGGATCTCTATAGAAACACTGGACAGGACCAAAGAAAGAAAGAACAAGAAGACAGCAATTAACGACAGTCGAACACGAGCAGAGAAAGTCCAAGCACAAGCTGAATATACAAGCAAGTGAAGAAGAGTATTATAGCCGACAAGCAGAAATACGTGGAAGAACTAGCAACGACGGCGGAGAAAGCTGCAAGAGAAGGTAATATGAAACAGCTTTACGATACAACGAAGAAACTAGCAGGGAAATATAGTAAACCAGAGAGACCAGTCAAAGACAAAGAAGGAAGACCAATCACTGAGATTGAGCAACAGCGGAACAGATGGGCAGAGTACTTCGAGAAACTCCTGAACAGGCCGGCTCCAATGAATCCACCAGACATCGAAGCAGCACACACAGATCTTCCTATAGATGTCAATCCACCAACGACGGAAGAAATCAGAATGGCTATCAGACAAATCAAGAGCGAGAAAACAGCAGGACCCGACAATATACCAGCTGAAGCACTGAAGTCAGACATCGAAGTAACAACGAACATGCTTCATCTTCTATTCAAGAAGATTTGGGAGGAGGAACAAGTGCCGATGGACTGGATGGAAGGACACCTCATCAAGATTCCAAAGAAAAGAGACCTGAGCAAGTGTGAAAATTACAGAAGCATTACACTACTGTCAATACCAGGAAAAGTCTTTAACAGAGTGTTACTGAACAGGATGAAAGACACAGTAGACGCTCAACTTCGAGATCAACAATCTGGATTCCGTAAAGACCGGTCGTGCACAGACCAAACTGCAACACTACGGATCATTGTCGAACAATCAATTGAGTGGAATTCATCACTGTACATCAACTTCATTGATTATGTGAAGGCATTTGGCAGTGAAGATAGGAGAACGTTATGGAAAATTCTTAGATACTACGGAGTTCCTGAGAAGATTGTCGACATTATCCGAAACTCATACGACGGACTACAGTGCAAAGTAGTGCATGGAGGACAGCTGACAGGCGCATTCCAAATAAGGACCGGAGTAAGACAAGGCTGTCTACTCTCCCCCTTCCTGTTTCTTCTGGTGGTCGACTGGATTATGAAGACCTCGACATCTGAGGGAAACCACGGCATACGATGGACGGCTCAGAATCAATTAGACGATTTAGACTTCGCAGATGACCTAGCCCTCCTATCCAATACACACGAACAAATGCAGACAAAGACAGCCAGCATAGCAGCAGTCTCTGCATCAGTAGGCCTCAAAATACACAAAGGGAAAACCAAGGTCCTCAAACACAACACGGAGAACAGCAATCCAATCACTCTTGATGGTGTAACTCTGGAAGATGTGGAATCCTTCACATACCTGGGAAGCATTGTCGAAAAACAAGGAGGTTCAGATGCAGACGTAAAGGCGAGGATTGGCAAAGCAAGGAAAGCATTCCTTCAATTAAAGAATATATGGAACTCAAAACAACTTTCAACCAACATCAAAGTCAGAATTTTCAATACGAACGTCAACACAGTTCTACTGTACAGAGCTGAAACGTGGAGAACTACAAAAACCACCATCAAGAAGGTACAAGTATTTATCAATAGTTGTCTACACAAGATATTCAACATCCATTGACCAGATACTATCAGTAACAGCCTTCTGTGGGAGAGAACAAACCAGCTTCCAGCGGAAGAGGAAAATAAGAAAAGACGATGGAAATGGATAGGACATACATTACGAAGATCATCAAACTGCATCATGAGACAAGCCCCAACATGACATCCTGAAGGAAAGCGGAAAAGAGGATTGCCAAAGAACACATTAGTCGGGAAATAGAATCAGATATGAAAAGGATAAATAAGAACTGGAAAGAGCTGGAAAGGATTGCTTGGGAGAGGGTTGGATGGAGAATGCTGGTGGGTGGCCCATGCTCCTTCACGAGAAGTAACAGGCGAAAGTAAGTAAGTAAGTTCCGGTATTGGATCGTCGGTGAGGGCATTGGTGCGAGCTACTGAGATGCCCCGTACCAGAACGAAGCAGCCATGTAGTGCTTTCAGGTTTTCGATGTAAGTTCAACTTTGATTGGTTTATGATCTCAATAATATTAAATAATCTCCAAAAGCTCATATACTCATAGTAGTAATAATAATATATACTAGGAATCGAAAATGAATCAGTGGAATTATTAAGCATTGATTTTTACGCCAAACAAATAAATAGATCAAAATCAACTAACATATAAACCGGTGATTGATTATTACATATTTTCAAAGGTTGAGATCATGAGTCAGTTGAAGCTAGATCACCATGGAAAACCTGGAAGCACTGGACGGTTGTTTCATCCTATTGTGAGACGTCCAGTGCCTGCAGGTTTTCCATGGTGGTCTAGCTTCAACTGACTCATGATCTCAACCATTGAAATTACTATATTATCCACAAAACCTGTCCTGATATTACATAATTATTTAAAATTTATTAATTATCTGTCATACTTATTTGTATTCAAAGTTTAAACATTCAGAGTAAATGTAACATTGTTTAAATCGTGTAAAATCTTACTTGCCAAGTTGCAAACCTATAAATAATGAATCAGAGTTGTATTTATTTAATTTATTAGTATGGGCTATTTGTAGAGATTGTAGTATTCTCATATCTGAAGTCACGAATCTATCTTAGTTAGACCACCACTGAAAACCTGAAAGCACTGAACGGCCGTTTCGTCTCATTATGAGAAACCTGAGAAGTGTTAGTTCACGACCCTGCACACGGGAATCGAACTCAGGATCTTCAGCCTCACGTAGGAACGCTTAACCTCTAAACCACTGAGCCGGCATACAATGGTGTTAATGTCTAACTTGTTTATCGAACTGTTTCTCTGTGTTGATATAACTTTTGTTTTTATTCATTGCGCCTATTTGTATTTCATGTTTTAAGAAATCGTATCTCTTTATTCGGTTTGGATAGTGACCGTAAAACACTTAATTATTTTATATGTACCCAAAAAATAAAGGTTCATATTTCATTGAAATTATTGACATTATATTTCTACAGTATGATTTCTGAAAAGGAAGAACTGTTAAATGCATGTCCTCTAGTTAAACCTGTCTACCACTTCACAGAACTTGCAAGTTCCATCAGTCCTAGTAAGTTGACATTTTACAAAATTTCTTCACAGATTTCGAACTTTAGATAAAGATGGAAAGTAGTTGGAAGAGGAAATGAACTTTCATTAAATAAGGTGGTTAAAAAATGCTTTGTGTTTGCCCAGCCACTAGTTATTTTGAAACATAGTGCTGATGAAAGTTTAGGTTGAAAGGAAACTAGAAACGGTCAAATCAAAATGTGGAATCAGTCTATGAAATCGTTCGCTATTGATTTGAGCAATATAAGTAGGTTCAAGACTATGTAGTAGAGGTTCGGGCAATTATCATCACCAGTGGTTGGAAACGTTGGGTAATATAGCGCAGAATCGATCACACTAGCACAGATACATTCATTCTTTGTCTTCCCTTAGATTCCAACTTTGAAAATCATCTTATACTCTCATTATTTGACAAATTCCTTTTTTCTTCTCTAATTACACATTCTACGGTTGATGTTTTCTACTACCCTTAATATTGCTATTATACTTATATTAATTTACCATCCCAATATTACTGATATAAAACAATGCAAATACATGCTTTGCTCTATATTTTGTGTGAATAACTTACTAACTGTTAGGCTATTCACACTTACAAAATATTCTAATTCTTTTTATTCACTAATCTTTTGCTTACTCTAGTCCATTTGAACGTGTTATTACCGTTCATAAAGATAGTTTAGGTGCAATTGGTGTACATGTTCGTAATGGTTTAATTAAAGCAATTGTTAAAGACTCAAGTGCTGCACGTAATGGTTTATTAACTAATCATCAAATTATTGAAGTTAATGGACAAAATGTTGTTGGTTTAAAGGATAAAGATTTATTACAACTTATGGAGGAATCAAAAACTCCAATGAAAGTTACTATTATACCAAAGACATTTTATGATAAATTAACTAGAAGGTAAGTTTTCTCTTTAAAACATTTACTTGTTTAATTACTATATATATATATATATATATATATATATATATATATATATATATATATATATATATATATATATATATATGCGTTTGAAATCCAGTCTAAACATCAACACCCGAATAAGGTATGCGCATTCAACTGATGAGCCATAAATGGGGCGAAACTACTACTAGTCACAATACAATTTTATGATTCATTATTGTGCCTTTCCCTTTTTCTTAAAAAATGTATAATTTTAACACTGTCTAAAAACATTTCACATCTGGTGTTTTACAATAATACATTTCAGTATGTATGTATATAATACAATTCGTCTTGTTTTGCAGTATTTTCATCCAGGTTTAACTTGATAATTTCAAACAAATTTATCACTATGTGTATTGTCTATGGTAATATACTTTTTAATATTGAAATGAATAGAGAGCAGTACTTATAACATTTCAGAATTCAGTGTAAATGGCTTCTTTACAGAATTAATACAAATGGATGTTTAGAAACGTTGCCAGTGTAATTTTTTATTCATTGAGACATTATTCATGTATTGTTATTTAATTATTATATCCCATGCTCATTTGATTGACTCAGTAATTGATATATTTATTTGTTCAATCATCCTCTTTTTTTTCTAAACTATAATTTGTACTTTACAACAACTTTCGTCTAAATTTGATCGATTAGTTTCACAGTATTAAGTATTGAAGTTAATGTTAGTTTACCATAAACAAAATAATCTCCAAATCTCGTACAAACTTTCTACTCGAATTATTTTCATCAAAAATAACCGACTGATTTACTAAAGGTTAGATTTCATTCTTAAGAGTTTACATTGTTAAAGAATTGTGTATAGTGGATCGTTAAAAGCTTACTTACTTACTTACGCCTGCTACTTCCAATGGAGCATAGGCCACCGACCGGCATTCTGCAACCCACACTGTCCTGGGCCTTTGTACTTCTGTTACGATATATATATATATATATATATACTCCAAAATTGTGTTATTTGCAAATTAGAAAGGTCATTCAATAAAGGTTAGAATGATTTGGAGTAAAGTGTCCAGTTACAATCAGTAGAATAGTATCATAGCAAAAATGAAAATGCGAAAAAATTGTGTGAATAAAATGTATAGTAGAAGAATTTCATCTTGTCAATTGAGATAATAATAATATTGTTGTGTGGATATAATATGTAATAAGGGGGGGTGTTATCAAGGTAATTACGATAAACGAATTGGGAATGATGGATGTGAAGATTAAGATAGAGGTAATAAAAAAAGAGGGGGTAAGGGGTTTATAATATTTAGTTTAGGTATCCGGTGATCCAGTCGTGGGTCAAGGTAAACATAGAGGTTGGATATACTTTTTCCGGATACATATGTTTGATTTTCTGGAGTTGATCCAGATGGTTTGGCTATGTAGAGTAATCGTAATCTATATCCTTGAGGTAGATATTTTGAAACTTGATATAAAATAGAGAAAGCTTCCTCTATTTCGATATGATGTTTACTATCTATCAAGTGAGAAAGAATAGAGTTGCTAATCGATTTAGTAACTCCTTTTCCCAACCATGCTGGTACATGTTCACGAACACTCAAGGATAAAGCTGTCTGAGTACGGCCTATGTAACTAGCTCCACAGGAGCAGTTGAATTGGTATAAAATTGAAATGTTTTGTTCAATAGAATAGTAAGTGATAAATTAACAATGATCATAGAAATATCTTATTAAAAAAGATTATAACATAAAAAGACTAGACCATTTGATCAGAGCAAAACACAATTATACAAGTATCGTGTATACATTATTTGTACTCTTTCTCTCTTTTTCTCTTACTCTCTCCTTCCCTCCCTCTCTCTCTCGCTGATCTTATTTAAAACATATCTGATTATGAAAGATGGATTAAATTAAATTGTTTGTTAGACATGAAATTTTATTTTTAGTGAATGTTTGTGTTGTTGTTGTCTAATGTTTTTTTCCAAGAAAAATTTGCAATCTAAAACAATAGGAATGAATCAATTTAATGATTAATAAACAATTAATAATGTGTTGTTTTGTTTTTAAGATTTTAAAAGCTAAAACTACTAATTATAACTAAAGATGAATGTTGGCTAGCTGTAGAATCCAGGTTGTGCATTTCATTCTATTTGGGTTTCATCAGCTGAACGTACTTACATCTTAGAGTTGATGTTCACTGTAGGGACTGGGAACTAGTATCATTCACTTCAAATGCCAATGCATTATCCATATAGCTACTAAGTTCAGATAGTCAATAACTTGTACAATTTGTTTTTGTTTCGGTGGTTTGTATAAGAGACCGATCAATTATAGTCCTAAACATCAATGAAAAGATTTAAATAACCAATACAAAAATCAATTAAACTAATATATATATATATATATATATATATATATATATATATATATATATATAATATTCTTGTGGGCCGGGGTAATTTTACACCGGTTTTCAAGAGAACCAGACACCGTCCAGACTTTCACGTGACAACCCAAACAGTACAGCCCAAGCCCGTTTAACAGGAGAGCCAGACACCGTATAGGCTTTAACGCTACAATCTGAATAGTGTAGCTCAATCCTGTGGCGCAACCACACAGGTAACAAGCACCCTGGTGGACCAAATAATATTTTTAAGTAAAGCAAAATAGTAACTTGTAATGAAACCTAGGGCTCATTTTTCATTCTAATTTACAATTTTTCAACTGAATGTACCTACATTTAAATGTTGATGCTTATAGTGAGACTCAAAACTAGTGTTTTTTGTTTCAAATGCTGAATGCTTTATCCATTTAGTTATTGAGTCTAGGTTAGCATAGTTTTGTGTAAAGCAAATGAATCATTATTCATTTATAGTAATTTAAATCTTTTAATTGTTAATATTAAAAACTGTAACTGATCAGTCTCTTTTAGTTTATGTGTATTCTGATCGGATTGTTTTATTATTATGATGAAGTAATATGTATCTTTTAGTCACTTCAAAGCTATTCTATTACAATTGTATAAAAGAATGATTAATTTAGTGGATCTAAATAATATAATATGTATTACATGTATTGTTAAACAGTTAAAGATAGTTTTTTTGTTTATGTAGTGTCAGGTGATTATTCTATCATGGAATATATTATGCGTAATTCAGAAATCTTTAATTATTAGATATCTTGGATTTATAGCTCATATGGTGATAAAAATTAGTATGGATCAGTAATATTTAGTTTAAGTGTAATTGTCTAATTGAGTTTCTAATACTTGAAGAGTTACGAGTTCTATGCATTATATTATGTTAAATCAACATAGAACTCTGATAAACATTATGGCTAACAATAACATAAACGTAGTATCATTCCATAAAAACACTAACTGTGGATTTGGTCATGAAAGATAAATTACTTACTTACTTACGCCTGTTACTCACAATGGAGCATAGGACGCCGGCCAAAATTCTCCAGTACACTCTGTCCTGAGCTTTCCTTTCCAGTTCTATCCAATTTTCGTTCATTTTTCTCACGTATGTCCCCATTTCTCGGCGTAATGTGTTCTTTGATCTTCCTCTTCTCCTTTGACCTTGAGGATTCCATGTGAGGGCTTAACTTGTGACGCAGTTTCGTGCTTTCCTCAATGTGCGTCCTATCCACTTCCAGCACTTCTTCCTGATTTCTTCCTCCGCTTGGATCTGGTTTGTTCTCTTCCACAGTAGGTTGTTGTTGATAATGTCGGGTCAACCGATCCGAAGTATTTTGCGTAGACGACTGTTAATAAACACCTGTATGTTCTGGGTGATGGCTTTTGTAGTTCTCCAGGTTTCCACCCCATACAGTAGAACTGTCTTAACATTTGTATTGAAAATTGTGACCTTGGTGTTGGTTGCCGATTGTTTTGTTTTCTAGATGTTCTTCAATTGTAGATATGCTGCTCTTGCTTTACCGATCCACGCCTTCATATCTGCATTAGATCCACCGTGCTCATCAATGATGCTGCCCAAATATCTGAATGCTTTTACATTTCCCAAATCTTTTCCATCATGAAAGATAAGCAGCTATAAAAATAGATAGAACCTGATATGCTCGTTCATAGGTTGAAATTAAGAAAACATATTAGCACAGCAAAATGTAGCATAAATAACCTTCATGTTAAAGGTAGAAGAAAACTTTAGGCTTAAGAGAGATGATTCGGGGAGAAAAAAACATGAATTATTTTTTAAAGGTAATTTAGAAACTTAAGACCTAATAGAATACAGAAAGTGAATGCACCTGTCCCATTTTTACAAATTATCCAATATATCGCTCAACACTCTATCCCATTGTTATGATAATGGTAAACTCTAAAGCTAGATAGTTTGAGCTTGCCTATATGGATTACTCCAACTGTTAATGATTTTGAAGAGTGATACCATGTTTCGGTTTGGTCGTTCTTAGTTTCCGTTCAACCTAATCCTTCATCAGTCATCTAAATTTATTCAGGTAGACGGTGGTTAGGTATATGTAATATATTTGCTAATCATTATAGTCAACAAATATTCATTACCTCATTATATATATAATATAATATAAACTCATTTCTTTTCATTTGAATATTATAGTCTTCCAACTGGGCAATTACGATTACAAATGGATCGATCATTACCTTTTGTTTAAAATATACATATAACAATTACAGATAATTCTATTCAGTATTTCTATTTTAATTAACTTAACAATGTGATAATGATGATGATGATGATGATACAAAAATAAAACGATGAATTCATTAAGATTTCTCTTCCTTATTGAATTTGTTCGTAAACCATTTAATGATCTTCTTTTACTTATTCCTTTTCGTTTATTCTTTGAAAACAAAACAAAAATGTTTTGCACGATTGTTAACAATGATGTTAGTAACAAATGGGAAGTATTATGATAACACTGATAATTGATTATAGTTAACATTGAGTACAAACATACTCAAGTATTATCACTATTATTATTATTATTATTATATCATTTCTATAGTACTCATGATAAAAAAAGAGAGTATTTCTCATTTCACTATTTGCTTATTTATTCTTGATTTTTTTTGTAATTTTTCTATTCATTAATCTAAGTAAATTATCATTGAGTTATGATTTAATGTTTTGATTAGGGTAGTTTATATAGTCAGAAATAGTTTCTCATTGAGTTGTATAACAAATACAAATCTTTACAAATAAAATTTATTTATTACATAGCCTAGTAACTATGTTAACTTAATTAGTTCAGTGAATAATGAGTTGACTTTTAAACCGAAAAAAAATACTGGATTCGAATCATAGTGTGAATATTGATAATAAGTTTCAGGTGTATCCAGCTGACGTATCTTAAGTAGAATAAAACACGCATAATGAATTTGATTGGTAATAACTATCCTAGTCTTAATAAAAATATTCATTGTATAGTTTGATGAGTTATCAAACTATACAAAAGTTCTTTCTAAATTCATTACATCTCACTATTTCTGTCAGATAGTATTTATCGTAAGCTGCTTCATACTTTTCAGGAATTGATGAAGGTTATTTCAGTAATATCTATGGGTTAGGTGAATCATTGCGTGATCTGCGAATTTGGGTTAACTACAACCTTTAGGGATGTTTTTTTTAGATGAACTGCGTTTTATAACAGAAATCTATTATGTTTAAGTTTCAATTCATAAAACTTAAACTGTCTGTAACTTTTCTCGGTAACCACACATTAGTAGTGAAGAACATAATGATTTAGCCATTACTGCAACTTAACTGAGCTCTTGACTACATAATATTATAAAAGTAAATCATTTTAGGAAGTTTTTTTGTAAGCAGTGATGGATATTGGCTAGCAATGGAATCCAGGACGCGCGTTTTGAGTTCCAAATAAGACGAAACGCGCGTCCTGGATTCCATTGCTAGTCAATATCCATCACTGCTTACAAAAAGCTTGTGAATTAAGGCAATATCGAGGCATACGCACAGTATGCACATATACCAATAACAGACTGATCAATTGCAGTCTTAAACCTCAATAGGAAGATACAAGCCAAACAATACCAAGTCATTTTAGGAATTGTTACGTGGACTTCGTACACATTCTTACAATTATTATGAGTTATTTCAAAAATTCATAACAACATCACTAGAACAATATTTGATGAATGGTAGTTTTAACATGTTTACAACCGATTCTCCCTGAATATCTGTTCATCTTTGAGTAAAAATGTATCCAGATATCAATATTTAGTATTTGAGGAACTTCATCTTCGTTAACGTACTTGTAAAGTACTTTTTCAGTTGTTGAAAAATTAGATTTATATACAGGTATTCAGAAATATTTCAACCGACTTAAGTAATAAATCGATTAGCATAGTGTTGAATCTAAGTGATTGACAATAAAAATCATGAACATCTTTTTAGGGTTGACATTATCATGTTTAATCGTATGAGAAGGTTTCTTTTTTGCTTTAGTAACACAATTTTAACAGTTGACTTCCACTAAAAAACTGTATCAGCATTATCAATATATCAGCACACAACTGTAGCAAGAAATGCCATTTGTTCATTTATTCTAATAGGATCCCATCAAAACAATATAAATCTAAATTACTTACTTACGCCTATTACCCCTCGTTGAGGAGAATAGGTTGTCCACCAGTGTTCATCAACCAACTCTGTCCTCGTAAATGCTTTCCAGTTCTTCCCAGCTGTTGTTCATCATTTTCATGTCTACTTTCAATTCTCATCACGGCATGTTCTTTAGTCTTCCTCTTTCCTGTTTCCTTTCAGGATTCCAAGTTAAAGCTTGCCTCGTGATGCTAATTTAATGATTTCCGTAATATGTGTTCTATTCACTTCTATCGTCAATTATCAAATTTATAGGTACCTTTGTTGAGAGTGGATTAAATAGGTGTTCTAAATCTTGAGATTAAACTATATTAATGCTTCTTACTGACATTTAAAATGAAAGATATTTTCATCACTAGTGTAGATTTAAGAAGTGACAAATAAAATTGACAATTTCATAGGTATCAGTCATTGAATACATAAATACATCTAAATATTATCATTCACAGTTAAAGCATCTCAATAATTTATCTTAACTTTTGATAAATGCATACTTATGTTTTCTGAGGCTTACATGTAAAAAACATTCTCATTGATTTATTATACTTTGGAATCTAGGCTCAAGATTTATTGTTAATCGTCTTGAACCAGCTTTTGACAACATATTAGTAGTTGAACTGCCAATTCAACAAGAAAACATAACTTCATTTACTACTATATAAATAACAAATGTAAATATCTAATTCCTTCATGAAGTCAATCACAATCAGAATAACCACAATGAGAACGTTTTATACTAAGATACTAGATGTCAGTTCAAAACTCGACTGTCACATTTCTTCCTTCAAAATTACATATACTCCTTGTTGATGAGTCGCAATTAGTATTTACTTTAAGTCAAAATTTCCTTGCTACCACCTATGTAAGTTACCTCATATTAGTGATTAGTTTGTTTGGTATAGTGTAGTGTCTGTCATTATGTTAAGCCCAAATACCTTATTATTCTAACTTTCGGACAGCCCATTCTATTCATTCTATTTGAGTCACATTCTGACCTTGTTAATCATTCGCTTATCAATATCTTGACCGTCTTTATATGAGCGCGTAGGTGTATGTACACTTCTTATCCCATTACTCATCACATGTCTGTAATTTATTTTTGTGTGCTTATAAATATTGATTAACGCTTGGTTAACAGGGTGTTGGCTTACTAGCCATCTCCACCGCGCACCAATTTAGCTTCGCTTTCTCATCTTCGCATCGTTCCTCCGTTCGTTTGTCTAATCAACAATTATACAAAATATATGCATTCAAAACTCCATTCTCGTTATTTGACTTATTTAGTTCCGTTATTAACTAACGCGATTTAAGTCGATGATTATACACGAGGATAGGCGATAGCAATCATTCATACGATCAAATTGGTGTCAGATCTCGGGCCACTAAAATAGTCAGTTCATTAGTTTGTTTTATCCTATCTCTTCAGAAGACACATAATTTCCTAAGTGAAATCTTATTTACTCAATCGAAGTCATATAAAAAGTAAACTTATCACTTACTATTGTTCCATTTTACTTTTAATATTGAAGACTGTTATTTCAACACTTTTTCAACTGTTGTAATAATACATTGTAATCATAATCATTAGTGTTAATGTAGTGAACACTTCCTGACGATAAATAGTAAGTGGTCATCAGTTAGAAGTTAGCATTTTCGGAATCGATATCTGAATAATGTTTATTCTTTTCAATGCATATTACCTAACAGCCACCAAGATGTCTTTAATTGTACTTTTTTTGTAACTTAGCAAAAAATGTGTCGTAAACTTTTCATAAACGCACCTGAATAGGTTATGCAATTAATAGACATAATGACGTATTAAAACAAACAAAAATACAGATGATTTGTTGAAATATCTAGCTACCAGGAACAGGTAGCCCAGGTATTTAAGCAGATCATTGAAGATGCGTACGATGCAAACATTGAATAAGTTCAATGGCTATCTGAACCTATTGACTTCGTGAAGTTAACGTAAATGGTACTCGAATTTAAGCATTAAACCAACTAAAGAATTGAAATGACTAAAAAAAATATAAATGCTAAAGATGATATAACTACTATAAAGAAGGTTAAGTAGTGTACTTTACACTTTGGTGAATAACTCACGTTGAGATTAAAGTAAGCTTGAAGACTTAAATTATATCAGAATGGAATAAGTGAATTGTATACACGATAAAAAAGTGAATTGGTTATCATAGAAATAGGTGTTAAATAAAGTCGTAGTTTAATTCAAGTCGACTTACCACTAGACCTTAGTATAGTTATTAGATCTAGTTTAAAAGATGCTTCACATTTTTTTATTCTCTTTGGGTTTTAACTGATTTTATGCTTAAATCTAACTAGTAACAAAAATATACACGAAATTATTTAAAAATGAATCATTTTGTAAACAAATCTCTTCATCCTAATTATTTACCTTCACAAGTTTGCATAGCAACATAAAATCAAGCTGATTATTTCAACTGCTAGTTATTATCCAACTTTGGGTATAATTTTTGTGACTGAATAGCAAAATCTTAGTAATTTGCACAGGATACATATATACCAATGAAAGATTGATCATTTTCAGTTCTAAACATCAATGGGAAGATACAAACAATCAATATAAAATCAAAACGTTTATGTAGACATTGATAAAAGAATTATTGATAATTATCATACACATCTCACTTGGACATGAATAATTTGTTCGAACAGCTCATTTCTTTCATTGTACAGTAATCTCCAATGTTATTTAGAGAAAGGTAATGAAAATGTAATAAATGAATCATCTACCTTGGTAGATTTAACTTACTCACGCCTGTTACTTCTCGTGAAGGAGCATGGGCCACCCACCAGCATTCTCCATCCAACCCTCTCCAAAGCAATCCTTTCCAGCTCTTTCCAGTTCTTATTTATCCTTTTCATATCTGATTCTATTTCCCGACGTAATGTGTTCTTTGGCAATCCTCTTTTCCGCTTTCCTTCAGGATGTCATGTTGGGGCTTGTCTCATGATGCAGTTTGATGATTTTCGTAATGTTCGTCCTAT